CAAGGCGCGGTGCGGTTAGCATCTACAGAAGAGGCTACGGCTCCCCGGGCTCCTTGCACGGGTCTTTATCCCCACGATCCCGGAGGCCGTTTGCGGATAGTGGACCTGCTGGCCTAGAGAGAGCCCCATGTAGCCCGCTCCGACCGTAGGATTGGGTCTGTCGGAAAACCTTTCACCCAAGGGGCACGGCAGTTGAAGACTCGTGGTCCTCGTGGCGACTTGCTGATCACTTGCTGATCGGCAAGAGCGTGTCTTTGCTTGGTCGTTAGGTCTCCTCTCATCCTGGTCTCCTAGCACAATCACACGCGTGGTGTTTTGCTAACTTCCAAAGAAACTGGAAGACAACATAGGACACATGTCCAGTGGCGCCAGATGTCTCGTCCATCACCTCAATGAAGTTTCCGCATCTGCTCTTCGTGGCTTACACCAGCCAGGCTGACCCATCGAGTTGGAACCCATAGGTTTCCTCTGCTAGACCGCTTGAGTCCGACGCCTTTGCCGGTTCTAGGCACTGCCCAACTTGTCGTGGAGGATGTAGGTCCGCAGCCGCGCTCCAGCCTGCTATGCTTTGGGATCATGATACACTCACCCTCCTTCTTGGGGTTCTCCTGTTGATCACAACTAAGGTGTGTCTGTCAATTCTTTAGCTCCGACAATGGGCAGAAGCGCCTCCCGCCCCATGGACTCTTCTTAGCCATCGGATCATCCTTTGGAGCCTCCAATTCCTTCCAGACAGCGATTCTCCGTGGCTTGAACCACGGCCGCTCTGCTCCCTAGGCCGGATCGGGAAGAGAAGTTCAGGTTTCATGTCACCTCGGAGTGGCATCGTGGGATGAACGGTGAGATCCGTTGAAGCCTTGATTTCCTGTATAAAGACGATGAGAATTCCATCGACTGAATGGCTTTCTGTTTTGGATCATCACTCTCAACTCCAAACAGCCCTCTCTCAACTTCTCGACTCCTCAGCTTCAACAACCGAGACACTCTCCACTTTGCACAAGTCAAGATGAAGTTCTTCACCGGTCTCACTCTCCTGGCCTCCCTCGTGAGCGCCTCTCCCATCGAGCTCGCACAGAGGGACACTGCGACTCCGCTCCAAGCCAACATCACCAAGAACGGCAATACAGCAGTCAAGATCGCCTTGAAGAACATTGGCAAGACCGATCTCAAGCTCTTCACTCCGGGTACCGTTTTGGACACGGCCGCCGTTGAGAAAGTCGCCGTCTTCAATGGAGGTAAGTAGTAGTACTCTCCCACAATTCAATATCAAAGTGCTGACTCAACCTACAAGACGACCGCCTCCCCTTCGATGGCGTCCGCCTGCGCATGGCACCTCAAAACCTCCTCACCGACGCCTCCTTCCGAACAATCAAGGCCGGCGAGACAATCGAATCCGCAGTCGACTTTGCCGAGCTGCACGACCTGGGTGAGGCCGACGCCTTCAAAGTGAGAGTCAACGGCGGCATCCCCTACGCCCAGGCCGGCTCGACCACCATTGCCGGCGTCTTCAGCATCGCCAGCAACACGCTCAACATCAACAACGTCAACGTCACAAAGGCCGCCATCGTCCGCACCTCGTACAAGCAGATGATCAAGCGCACCATTGTCCAGTCCGACTGCAAGGGCACCCAGAACACCACCGTCACCAACGCCCTCGCCAGCTGCTCCAAGCTCGCTCGCGCCGCCGCCGACTACGTCTCCAAGGACGACAAGCGCTTGAACGAGTACTTCAAGTCGACGACCGCCGCCAGCAAGAAGATTGTCGTCGACACCTTCAACAAGGTCGCTTCCGAATGCGGTAGCCGCAACACGGGCGTCTCCAAGCAGTACTGCAGCGACGTCTACAAGTCTTGCTCGCCTGGTGTCTTGGCTTACACCGTCCCGGCTTACAAGTACATGGTCAACTGCCCCTTGTACTTCACCGCGCTTCCTCTGCTCACCACTGGTTGCCACAACCAGGACCAGTCGACCACCACTCTGGTAAGTACAGCACTTTACTGAAGATCATCGAGCTTGAGCTGACCAGTTTGACTTTTTCAGCACGAGATGACCCACTTGCTCGAGGTCAAGGGAACACTGGACTATGGCATCTACGGCTACACTGCCTTGAAGACTCTCACGAGCGCTCAGAACCTCAACCACGCTGACACCTATGCGGTCTATGCCAATGGTAAGTCGATTCAACTCTCAAGACACAATAAGGAAAGCCATGGCTAACAATGAGATTTCCAGCTGTCAACCAGGGCAAGACTTGCTAGTCGCAATAAGGAGTTGAGAGTTTTCGTACATATCCACCACAAAGACTATCCAGTTCTTCTGTGCATATTCAACGGGACCGACTACGCTAGGAGTTTACACTGCTCCATGTATGGGCGCCGGTTCCTCTTAATGGTTAATTACTAGTATCAGGGTTTGGGATCGGGAATTAGAGGGCATTTAGATCTGCCATTTTCAATCTTTTCCATAGAAACGAAATCACGATTCATTCAGATTTAACAAGTGCCCGATTAAATGATTAATGACTCCAATGTGATAGGGATTATTGAAAGACTCTGTAACTATTCGCAGATGGCCTCAAATTGAAGCAGAAGAGCTAGGCAGGGCGTTTGTTTGCTCTAAAGCCTCCCAAGGCGACACAAGATAGTTTCGTTTTACGAAGCAATGCGGACCGAAAGGTCTGTGGCTCATTCTTTGCAGTACACACATAATAGACATTAGCTTATCAGGGACTCTATACTAACCATAAACGAGGTTGATGAATCGTTCAAACAAGGTCTTTGGAGAAGAGTAGTAAGAATAGAGCTACATACAAGACCGCCGATTAGTGCCTGTCTGAACTTCTCCGTCAGTTACGTTCCATGTAAACCGTTCCGTTGGGGAAGGAAACGAGCAGAGACAAGTCTTTGCCAGAGACATGTAAGCCGGTATATTCTCAGGTGTTGCACCAAACATGACTGACCATGGTCTCACTTGGTAACTCGCTGTGTTGCATTCCAAAGTCCCAACGTTCAACCAACGACAAGTCTGACACACAGCCCTGGGCCCTCGTACCCGTTGGAACCGAGACCTTTAGCGACCCAGGGGGTGCCCATCCGATTTTGGGGGTTAGGGGCGGCACTTGGACACAGATAACACGTCCGACAGGGCAGAGACAGTGACGTGCAGAACGACCCGATCCTCGCCTGCTGGGAATGGAAGCTTTGGAAGCTCGTCCCTGTTTGTGAGCCGCAGTTTTTGCAAATTCCGACTGGGGGGCCGGCTCTACAGGATGCTCCGGGCGGCGGTCGGGTTGGGCATACGTGTGGTCCCCGGGCGCTAACGGCAAGGCGCAGTAGCACAGTAGATGCAAGCTTGACATTTGTTGTAAGATGTCTTCTTCTACGGAAGTACGGATACCTTAGAATGAGATGAAGTCCCGTTCTTAGCTCCTCAATTTTGAATATCAAAGGCGGGCCCGGCCTTGGGGGCCGAGAGGGGCGAAGCTCAATAATTCACTCGACAATTTCACATGGAATTGAATAGTTGGAAACAAGTTCGGAGTCCGGGCTGGAAACTGGCAAAGACTCGAAATAACATCGTATCAATCCCGACCCGCTGGGACATTGGACCGGGGGTCGCCGGAGCCAGCCGTTGGCCTGAACCTGAGATCCAAATCACACAATATTGAGCCCCGCTGAGTGGGATCGTCGACCGTTTGTTCGCACTCGGGCCCATCAGCGGGTGCCGGCAATCGAACCTTCGAATGACTCCTCAATGCTCACAGTGTCGCACTTTGTACTCAGGAATCCGTAAGTGGATATTGCGAGATGCGTACGCATCGATCTATGGGCATTCGGGTGCCACTACTGTTTGCTCTGCTCGCCTTGGATGCGCAAAAGCCACAGACGCAAGATAGGTACGAGGTCTGCAGACTTAAGGCTGTCGTCGTGGGGGTCTTTTGATACGTGCTAGTCCTGCAGGACGAAAAGTATGCCGAGTCGTGGCCTGCATCTTGTCCGTGCATTATTACACGCGCGGGCGTCAGAGCCTCGAAAGGTGAAGGAGCAGAGGCAAGGTTTGCTGGAATGTTCCGTGAGCCTGTTTGGTCTTTTTGGTGCGTTTGGTACAATCCCTTTTATTAGGTATCATTGCGGCGGACCGAGGAACGGCGCAGGGCACCCGCGTAGAGTTTTGGGCCGTTCGGACTGGGAAAAGTGTAAAGCTTGCGAAGAAAGCACCGAAGCAAGGGATATGGGATGAGCTTGCGTTGCAGGTCGGCACGTTGCGAAGGGAGACGGTCGCAGTGGGAGGAAGGGCCAAGACGAAAGGGATGGCGGGATGTCTGGGATGTCGCGTCTTGTCACTTGTCAAGTTCCAGATGGAGGAAAGATTCCGTACGAAGGCGAAGGCTGAGGGGTTGATCAAATTTGGGAAGATTTCGTCGGCTGAAAGTGAGAGAGCATGACAGTTCTTGTCGCGATTTGAGCCCAAATACCAGCAGAAAAGATGGTTACAGATGTTCAAGCCATCAAGACTCGACAATCCATCCAGTCAGTCTCTGTATCCATACTGTATGCCGTGCAAAACACCTTGGGGGATAGCAACATGTTTGTTTGCGTGCGTTCTTGTCGTGATTTGGGAGGTGGGCTGTGGACAAGTATCAGGGGGTGGCGAGTTACGTAGTGGGGTGGTCTTCCATGTGCCAACAGGATATATCTTCTTGTGTGTCTTGCGAAAAAGGTACGAACGAATGCTGCAGCTCTGGGGCGATGCCGACACAGTGTGATAGGGCCGGTTCGGCTATTCTCCCGTGGCATGCCGCACCGAATTCTGGGTGTCCGTCGTCGTCGCTTGCTTCCCGCACCTCCATCCGCTCCTATTTTGCCAACCAGTGACGACAAAGCTGCAGGAACAGCCGGCGTCGAATGACGACGATCAGATAGCGGCGGTGCTAAAGAGAAGCATCCCTTGAGGACACTGTGTCTGACACACCTGATCTGCTGGATCAGCGATTCCGTCAATCAAGAATCCAAGATGGTCCTCCGCATCGACAGACTCGGCGAGTGATCCGTTGCTCGACGGGCTCGACGGGCTTGAGGGCGGCGTTGGATAGGTTCCGATTCGGCAGCCAACCATGGAAACGAATGGGGGAAACCCACCACTGACCTCAGACAGCCACGATCTCTCCAAGACACTGAAGACAGTGACGGGACCACCTGGCGCCGTGTACACTGTAGACCGAGCCTTTGAGTGTCTGTGCTGCGTGGTGCGTGTGTACATACTATGTATTCGTATGCAGCACAGTGGACAGCAGCAGGCCGGCCAGCAGCTAGCTCCCGGGAGCGGTGGAGAGTCGAGGTCGCAGTCCAGTCGGGTCTTGTGGATCGTCGTCTTCAAGAACGCAGGTCCAGCCACATTCGCAGGCTCGCAACCCGTCACAGAAGTTCCCCGGTGGTAAGGTACGGCGTAATGGTGGAGGACTCGATGGCGACGGGCATTTTTGCTTGGTGAGGAAGTGTGGAATGCCGGTACTGAGTATCCGTACGGAGTCCAGCAGTGCACTGTGCTGAGCTGACCTCATCCCTTTGCAGCGAGCGGGCGAAACCTTGTAACAGAAAGCCTGGCAACTGCAGGATTGCGACACCGGCCACTAGGCAACTCGGGTCAAGACCGGAAAGCCATGTCGATTCGGACTGGGCGAGCGGCTAGGGGGGCTGGCACAAGGGTTCGGGACGCGGAGCCCTAACAAGGACCCTGAATTCTCTGTGTTGAATATCGGGAGGTTATGGTAGCATTGGTGGTATTGGTGATGGCTGAATCTAGGTAGGTAGTCGAAGGCTCGAAGCTACACTGCGTGTCTGGTTAGTAGATGGGGCGGTAGCACAGAGACTAAGGTAAGGTATGGAGGTTTGTTGGACGAACCTGATCACCAAGCCGGTGTTCCGCTTTTCCACCGGTTGTTATGGAGTTTGGCAGATCATGCTGTTTGGGTTAGAAAACTTGGGAAATCCCCGCGATTTCAGTTTGCCACGGTTTGAGGCTTCCAAGGGGTGGTTCTGGTGTCGCGAGAGTCTACCACGAAGTATTCGTAGCGGGAGGAGGAGAAGTCACTACGCAGTAGGTAGATGTACGTACTCCGTACTCCGTCGAGGAATAGAAGTGGTGGTGGTGGTGGTGGTGGTGGCAGGTGAAGGCAGTGGTGCAGTGGTACGCTCTTTCCCCTCCCTTTTGAAACTGGGGGAGAAGTTGCGAGCCCTGAGTGGCTGAGGTGAGGCGATGGGTGGGGCTCGCTTGACGGGAATGGCGGGGCTGGACAGTGCCAAAGCCCTTCAACGTGTCTAGCACAGTATACATGGCCTCTCCGGTGGTTTGTCTGCCCAGTGCTGTGCGCGTAGCCCGTGGTGTTTCCTCTCTCTCATCTCCTGGCCTTGCACAAGCCTGCAAAGGCCCCAAGGCCCCCCCTTTCGGTCAAAGGTGATCCCAGTCAGCCGGGCGCTGCCCTGGTCGTACGACGGACGCCCACAAACTGTTTCTGTACTGCACTGTGTACTTGCAATACCCCCAAGAGCTTCCCTTGCCTTCCATCCAGAACCCGCCTGTCGCCAGTTCGACCGGGTCTTTCTGACTTCCCATTCATTGGCATGGGGCAAGGTACGGATTGCGGGCACTGGGCTGGCTGACAGAGACCCCAACTTCCTCCCTCCTTCCTCGAGGAACCGACCTTCGAGACTCAAAGTGACTTCCATGCTTGGCTTACCCCCGGTGCGTGTGCGTGTATCTTTGCTTCACCCCCCCAAAAAACCCAAAGCTGACAGGGTCAAAAAAAGAAGAGAAAGTGAGCAAGAGCATTCAAACCATCTGCTCCTGCTCCCTCTTCCCAAACGAACCACCACTTCTTCCCCCCATCTTCAACTCCATCTTCAACTTCAACTTCATCTTCACTTCCGTCCAACGAATTCTCCCATCCATCAACAAACCTTTGGTTGATACCCCAGACGCATCCACAGCTGCATCCATCCCACTTGTTGTGTGTGTACCTACTCTTCCTCGTTGTGGGCTCCGATTTACTTCGCTAGCCCAACCCACATTCACATGGTCCTCTGCCGCCGTCGGACCATCGACACCACCACCTCGAACACAACCTCGCCGACGCCCTCAGCTGCTCCTATGTCTCGCCTGCTCTGTAAACAACACTGGGAAGCGTTGATGTAAATCCCTTCCGCATAAAACACACACAGATCATGCTGCGACGGCCTCCAGGCGACGGGAGGCGCGTTGCTCGTCAGCGAACTTACCTCCTTGCTCTCGCTGTACTCGCCATCTCATGCCTCCCACTCGCCGATGCTCAACAACAGCAAAAACCCATCGAGCCGGTAGCCCAGATACATAGAATCCATCAACACCAAACCCCTGCTGGAAGCAGTCAACACGAAGCTGTTCGTGATGCCCTCCCCGACGCTGCCGCCCGCAACTGGGCCGCTACCAACATCAAGGCCGACAATGCTGTCGAGTCTCCGAGGCGCCGAAACTCCGTAACCTCGAAGCAACCCCAACCTCAACCCAATAACAAACAACCACACGACCGTCGGTCCAACCCCGACAACATACTTATTCCTCACGATGCGAGCGCCATCGCAACTTTGGCTCCGGCTCAGTCCGTCCGAGCACCTCCTTCTGGACATCGACCCATTGCCTCCCGCGTTGGCGGTGGTGGGATCTCTACGCAGCACCATGCGCGGAGTCTGAAGGATTGGGAAGTAGAAGACTTCGTTCTTATGGCGACCGTCGATGGACACCTCTATGCCACTGATCGCAACCACGCCACCGAACGCTGGCATCTCGAGGTTGACCAGTCCATGGTTGAGACCAAACATTACCGTCTCAACGCCTCCGACCTGGACGACGACTACAACCACATCGATCACTACATCTGGGCCATCGAGCCCAATCGCGATGGAGACATTTACTACTGGTCTCCAGCTGGCTCCACCGAGCCCAGACTACTATCCACGGGCTTGACCATGAAACAGATGGTCGACGAGGGCGCCTCGGCCCTCGACAATCCGCCAATCGTCTATACTGGTACCAAGAAGACTACCATGATTACACTCGATGCCGCTACAGGTCGTGTGCTCAAGTGGTTTGGCTCTGGCGGCTCACACGTCAACGAAGCAGAGAGCTGCCTACGCCCGAATGCACTCTACGACCAGAATAACGAAGAGTGTAGCTCGACTGGTACGATCACGCTTGGTCGTACCGAGTACGAGGTTGGCATTGCCCGCAGAGACGGTCGCCCGATCGCTACACTCAAGTTCTTTGACTGGACTCCCAACACAAACGACTACGACCTGCTTAACCAACACCACCAGTCCATCGACCAGCGCTACCATACCACCACCCACGATGGCAAGATTTATGGTGTTGACTACGCCAATGCCCACAAGGACAAACTGCCCATTTTTTGCAACGCGCAGTTTGCTTCGCCTGTAGTCAAGGTTTTCGACGTCTGCAGGCCCGTGGGATTGGAACCGTTGAGCAACCCCGACCTCATCGTCCTTCCTCAGCCTGTCCCACCAGCCAAGGATGACAGCAACGCTCGTATCCGAAGTCAGCGTATATTCGTCAACCAGACAGACATGGGCAACTGGTACGCCTTGTCTGGGCGCTCCTATCCTCTCATCTTGGATGCTCCCGTAGCCAAGACCTCGTCGCCAGACTGGCTGCAGCTTGCTCAGCCATGGGGCAAGTTAAACGAGACGCAGCGGGTCGGCGCAATGGTTGGAACCCACTACATGGATGGTGTCATCAGGGGCAAGATCTATCAGCCTCCCAGTCTACCCGGACGCGCAGAAGCGTCTGATGCAGTGGTGGACCCTGAAAATCACCCAGTGCTGCCCACTACTGTGCCGCACGACGATCCTGTCGAGACGCCCACCATCGTCAACAAAGTCAAGTCGATTCCTCATCACGTTTCCAACAGTGTAATCGACTTTTTCTCCAACCCTGTCTTGATTGTGCTCATTGTTTCTGTTCTGTTTTACTATCAGAAGGATCTACGTCGGTGGTACAAAACTAAGACGACAAAATGGTATATGCGAGACGAGGCTGCTTCCGATACAGAGGATATGGGTGCCGATGCCACTCCTGAGCAAACGGTACATGACGAGATCCCACCATCCGCTCCTCAGCGGGCGGCCGCACCTTTAGTGCCAGAAGAGCCTGTTGCCGACAAGAAGCCAGTATCCGAGGATGGGGTTCCCTCTGTTGAGCCTGCCCCTGAGAAAGAGAAGGATGATGACAAGATGCCTATCGCGGATCCATCGGCTCCCGGTGCCGAGACCCAGACTTCTGCCACCCCCCCTGAACCTGGCACCCCTGAGGTCAAGAAGAAGAAGCCCGCTCACCGTGGCCGTCGCGGAGGCACGAAGCACCGCAAGGGGAAGAAGAGAGAAGAAATGTCTCAATCTCGCGATGACGAGCCACGTGCTTCCGTTGAGGAAGCTGTCAATAAGGCAAAGAAGTTGGGTGTACAGGCTACTGGTCTGGAGCCCGATGTCATGACCATGACAAACGACATGCAAACTGTGGGAGAATCGATCATCAAGATGGGCGGCATCGAAGTTGACACCGAGAACCAACTCGGCACAGGCAGCAATGGTACCCTGGTCTTTGCCGGTCGATTCGATGGCCGCGAAGTAGCTGTCAAGCGGATGCTTATCCAGTTCTACGACATTGCTTCCCAGGAGACAAAGTTGCTGCGAGAGAGCGACGACCATCCCAATGGTAAGACAGAAACATGGCTGCTTTCAAGGAAGTATCTAACAATTAATTCTAGTCATTCGATACTACGCTCAACAGCAACGCGATGGGTTCCTGTACATTGCTCTCGAGCGCTGTGCAGCCTCTCTGGCTGATGTCATTGAGAAGCCTCATCACTTCACCCGACTGGCTCAAGCAGGCAAGATGGATTTGCCAGGTGTCTTGTACCAAATCACTAACGGCATCCACCATCTACACAACCTTCGCATTGTCCACCGCGATCTCAAGCCTCAGAACATTTTGGTCAACATGGGCAAGGATGGACGACCGCGCCTTCTTGTATCCGATTTTGGTCTCTGCAAAAAGCTAGAGGGTGGTCAGTCCTCCTTCGGTGCCACTACTGGCCGCGCTGCGGGAACGTCTGGCTGGCGAGCCCCTGAACTGCTACTCGACGACGACGCCAGGGACACTGCCACTATGGAGTCCAGTATCCAGAGTGGATCGGGCTCTATCCTGGTTGGTTCCGACATGATGTCCAACCGCCGTGCTACTCGCTCCATTGACATATTCAGCTTGGGCTTGGTGTTTTTCTATGTCCTGACGAATGGTTCCCATCCTTTCGACTGTGGCGATCGCTACATGAGGGAGGTGAACATCCGCAAGGGCAACTACAACTTGGCGCCACTGGATGCTCTTGGCGACTTTGCCTATGAGGCAAAGCATCTCATCGGCTCGATGTTGGATGCGAATCCGAAGGAGCGCCCTTCAGCTCGCGATGTCATGGCTCATCCGTTCTTCTGGTCTGCCAAGAAGCGCCTTGCTTTCTTGTGCGACGTCTCGGATCACTTTGAGAAGGAACCCAGAGACCCCCCAAGTGATCATCTTGTTCATTTGGAGAAGCATGCTCCGGCGATCACCAAGGGAGATTTCCTTCGGCTTCTGCCACGAGACTTTGTGGACTCTTTGGGCAAGCAGCGCAAATACACTGGGTCCAAGCTGCTTGATCTGTTGAGAGCTCTGCGCAATAAGAAGAACCATTACGAGGATATGCCCGACGCGCTAAAGCGGGCAGTTGGTCCTTTGCCAGAAGGTTACTTGGCGTTCTGGACAGTCAAGTTTCCTAGACTTTTGCTAGATTGTTGGAACGTGGTGTGGACCGTGGAATGGGATAGTACTGATCGGTTCCGGGAGTACTATGAGCCAGCCGGTCTTTGAGATGTCGATACGCATAAAAGTCAATGATTTTGCCATGCTTTCAAACTTGTTCTACTTTTCCGTGATCTGATAAGCTCCCCTAGTGGAATTGTAAAAAATGTTGGAGAGCCTCCTGATACCTACTCAGAATCTTCGATTCCAATGCTGTAGTAATAAGTATACTGCAAAAAGTAGTCTACTTTTCGTAGCCCGAAGTTATATGTATCAGATCCACTACTTGCCCTTGCACAGACAGACGCGTAAGAAAATTACCTTTGGCAGGTCGCCAGGTCTATCCGGGTCCTCACTGCTCGAGACGATCTACAAGGTACATGTCATGACCCAGAGCGGTAGGTAGCCACACATTTGCTCTATTCATTGAAGACCTGTTACTTTTCTCTGGTCTATTGTGTCTGTTACTCTTTCTTTTCTTTATACCTCCTGAAAACTGCAGACCACCCACGTATGGCCAAATCCTTTAAGTGTTCAGCAATCTTTTACACGCTGCGAGGCTCGATGTACCGTCAAACAGTGTCGTTCATCACCCCCATCTCAGAACGCCTTGTGAGGCATCTCCCAGCTTCTCAACCCCACTGGACAAGCACCTTCTTGCCCTTCTTCTTCTTGCCACCTGTGCTCTGACCAGCTTCCTCGTCTTCCCTCTCCGATACATTCTCGCTCGCGGCTCCGCTTCCTGGGGCCGATCCCCAGCTGAAGTTACTGGCAGCGCCGCCCAGATCGCGTCGCACACCTCGTCCCGATCCATAGCCAAAGATTGTTGTGAGGGGCTTCTGTGCCGGAGGCAACGCGGGGAAAGCAGATGATGGTGGCGGTCGACCGGCTGGTGTCGAGCGCACGGGTCCTGCGGAGCCCGAGGATCTCGAAGCGGAGGGGTTGTTCGGCCCAATCCAGGATGGCTGTGGTGCCGTCGACTTGGAGGACGAGGCCGCGGGGAGGGCAGGGAAGGCCGATGGCGCTGGAGGGCGAGAGGAGCCCGACGTGGAAACCCAGTTCGCCGAAGCGGCCGGGGCCACCGGTTTAGGCCCCGAGGCGCCGGCTCGGGTGCTGTTCTTCAGCCTCAACACGCGGTTGGAGTGCTTCTGGTTCGAGCTCGGTGCGGCAGCTGGCGCAGTGGGGGACGGCGAGGCTGCACTAGCCCAGCCGCTTGAAGCCGTCGTCGCGCCGTGCATACCGCCCAAGCCAGGCAGAGACGGGTAGTCTTCGTTGATGGCTCTCCAGTCCTGCCACGCTTTGTGCAGAGCCGCGACCTTGCTCTTATCCTCGAATAGGTCAGCAACTTCACGGACCAATGTACCCAATGCGTTTGACGATGTATCAGCGAAGAGCGAGAAGAAGGCATCGACCAGTTGAGGGGCGGTCAAACTTCCTTTTCGGAAATTTGAAATGTAATCGCGGAACTCCTTCATCTTAGACTGATCGTGGCCAAGCAGGTTTGAAGCGCGCTCAACGACGCCTTGGTGGCGCAGCATCACCGCTCTCTCCTGAGGAGGCAATGATGCAATGTCAGTCACATTGAGCTGCTCCATCTCGGCCGTAGGCAGCGCAGGCGCAGGTCCGGCTGCAGCTGCAGGGGCTTGACGTGATGAACCCCCAGGTGCCGGCGCACCATTACCTCGGCGAGACGAAGAAGCGGGTGTCGTACTCGCTGGCTGGGAGAGAGAACCGCCAAAGGTACGGTTAGTAACTGACTGTGCCGAGTGGATTGCCATTTGTCTTTGGAAGGCAAGCTCATCCCGACGCAGCGGTTGCGCAGAGCTATGAGGTATGGGTTCGGCATTGGGATCCCGGCCACGGCCACGGCCTTGGCGTCCGCTGGAGGGACCATCGCCACCGCTGCCGCCGCTTCTACCGCCGCCACCTCCTCCACGTCTCTCAGTCTCGTATGTCGATCTGTAGTCAAAGCCTGACATGTTGACTACCCTCGCATCTCTCCGCACATCCTTGGACAGAGAGTTGGCATGCTCTTCCAGTTGATGCGCCTTCAAGTCCATTTCCGACTCAAAGACGACGAATTTCTTCTCTAGGCATTCCTTGTCCAGACAGGGGAAATGGTCTTTTTCAAAGTGCTTCTCCAAAGCATTGTAGTTGACAAAGTAGTGGGGGTGTCTCGAGTCTCTCCGGTCGCAGATGAAACATCTTTCGTGCTTTTCGCGGCAGTGATCAAAGAGCTTATCGTCGTCGTAGAAGCGCGATCCGCAGAACCCGCATAGGGGATGTCCCTTGAAGCCCGTCTGGTCAATGGCACCTGGCCTGTCGTCTCCGTGCCTCATATGCTTCTCGAGCTCCTTGTCCGCAAAGAGTTCATGCTCATGGGTAAAGACCTTCTTGTTTCTGGTACACAGGTCGCACATCTTCATATGATGCGTTGAACGAACGTGTCTATGAAGATCTGGCCAGCCTAAACCGGCAAAGACACAGTCTTCCGCGGGGCAATTGTATCGCAGGAGCACGACAGTGTCGCCGACAATTTCCTCATTGGTATATCGGATGCCAATGTTGCTGTCGAAGCTCGTGATGTCGGCGTCGGTATAGTCCTCGTATCGCTTGTTCGCATCGTCCGTGAAAACGACAAAGGGAGAAGCAGTCTTGCTTGAAGTTAGTCTCGGCGTATCAATGGCGCGTCAGTGTAAGTAAGACTTACTCGACAATGAGGACAGTCCTTGGTCTTGTACAGGGCTCTCATGCGTAGACCACAGATGTGGCAGGTCTTATGGTTGCATGGTGCAATCGAGTGGAACTTGATGGGCTCTGCGCAAATGAAGCACACCTCTCCGTCGCTGCTCGCGGTATCATCGTCCGCTGCAGCCGTACGTGTGAGCACCTTGTTATCGGCTTTGGTGACGGGGGCCTGTGATGCGCTCGAGGTTTCTGGCTGGGTTGACGCAGCAGCGTTATTACCGCCTCTGCCACGTCCTCCTCTTCCTCTTCCACGGGTTCCAGCGTTGGCTCCTCCTCCACCTCCACCACCGCCGCCGCGACCTCTTCCACGGTTGCGATTACCCCTCGAGGGGTTCGAGTCGCCGCCGGCAGCGTGAGTATCAGCCATCGGGAGAGTCGTCTTTCTCGTAGATAATGAGACTGTCGAGTCGGCTGGACAATCCTGCCGAGACCAACGGTCTTACACTGGCAGTGCCTTTCTTGGATGCGCGAAATTGGTCCTCCACTTGAGCTTGCTTGTGGGCCGGTGTAGCTGCAACTGAACAGCTCGTTCCAGATTGCGTGCAGTGACTTGAAGAGGTAGCGTAAATTGGTAAGAGAGTAGGAAAAGGCCGGGATACAGACGGGCAACCCGGTACTTTTAATCGGGCGCTGCGAGACGATGTACGTCGAAATTAATGATTATGTGTGGCTCCCAAGGGAACCGCGAGTGGGTTGGATTGGCTCTGGCATTGGTGGGTGGAGGGAACTCATGGCGGGGTCCAGCAAAAAAAAGTCCCCTTCCATTGCTCGTTGAGGTGGCAGCTGCTGCCACTGAGAGTACTAACTTCCATTCTGGTAAGCGACCGCCGACCGGGGTTTCTCCGTGCTCTCGGTGTGCGTCATTCACCCCTGCAACCGCCATACCGCCATGCCGCCATCTGAAGAAGCTTCGAGGCTTACATAACACAGCAACAACCACGAGCTGACAGCTGAGCTTCGCGGAGTCACCAGCCGGTTCCAGGCCACATTTGTGGCTTTGCACTCGACTCATCGAGGCGGTGCAAGAGGCATTCGAAGTCTTTCTCAATGGATGTCAGATATCTCGATTTAGAATCGCCTCTGCCTTACCTCAGGTACCCCAATATGAGTTGCATACAAAATGACTCATCTGTAATCATCGTTTCTCTGCTGTAGCTGAAGCATTGTTGTGCGGTGCCAGTTTCTCTCTCATTCGATGCCTATGGTCTTGCATCATTGACTTCCCAAAATATGTTGCGTCATTGGACAGGCAGAGGACTAAACCAGTATCTTAATAGAGTGTATTTCAAGGGAGACTAGTCTCGACCGATTCCAAAGGCCGAGCTAGCCTAGATTCTCTACCTCAGGTAGCGTAGAGCCTGCAGTTGCAGCCACAGCTGCAACATCCAGCATGGCCAAATACTAAGTATGTAAAGATGCCATGGCGACAACGAACCCACCCTCTACTGATATCCTCCTCCAACAACCACACTAGAAGGCACTTCGCGATTCGCCATCCATTTGCTGCCTGTACCCGACCCGGATGTCCAACCAAACCGCCCGGAAAGTTCTGATTGCCCATCCCAAACCAGAAAGACGCTATTGCTTTAAATCGCACCGCTTGTCCGTGTTATTTTCATCCTTGGACCATGTCCCTCCTTAAATATGCTCTCACTGCTCCTCAACCGGGTAAAGATGGGCCCCGATCATCTTGTTCATTTGGAACATATCCACCTTGGATTGTTTGAAAATCGCGTGCATCTTGTCGTCGCAAATGATTTGTCTCTTGTTTTCCGGATCCTGTAGGTCGTTGCCCTTGATGTGTTCCCAGAGCTTCTTGACAACCTGCGGGCGAGAGAGCTGGGGTAAAAAGTCAGCATGTTGTTGTCAGACAGCATGTCATCCCGGAAAAATCATACCTGAGGTTCGCCAAGCAACTCTGACAACGGCTCGCTCAAGTTGAAGGGCTTTTGGAATCCACCACCAGCCTTGCGTTTCGGCGCTTCGCCGCTGTCCTCGACGTCGCTGTCGTCAATCTTCTTGTCGCTCTTCTTGCGGGGCGCCTTCTTCTTCTTGGCCGCTTTGCTACCCTTACTGCTTGCGCCATTGCCGCCTCGAGTTGTCCTTCCTCTTGCCATTTGGTTTTCCTGAGCTTGTAGCTTCGCAGCGAGCTTGGCATCGGCGTCTTCAGACGAGTCCTCACGCTTCTGTCTCTTCCGGACAGGCGCGACGGACACCTCAATCTCGCCATCAATATCATCGTCGTGGCCGTTGGCTTCGCGCTTCGGGGCGGGACTTGCGGAGTACGAGTCGGGGGCTGCGTCGTTGGAACCCGAGATGGCGTCGAATCGCTCTTCTATCAGCGCCTTGATGGCATCCTGCAAGCATCTGTGTTAGCTTTGACCCAGGTTATTGGTAGGTGTATGTCTGCAGCTGGCAGTGGGATTACTGGGTATATAATTACCTTCTGAGCAGTCAGGTCCTTCCCGCCAAGAGCTTTCTCCAGACCCAAACGGATCTTCTTGCGAGTGATGGTCGTCAAGTCCGCGGTCGCAAGGATGCCATCTATGATGGCCGTGTAGTTATCCTCATCTTCAGAGCTCACTGCAGAAATCAGTTTAGCGACAGCGTTGCAGGCAACAAGACCTAAAGCGCAGGAACATACGGGGAAGAGACATGTTGCTGCCAGAGTGTATGATGTTCCTGGAGTAGTGTTTTGTAGATGTGTCGATATTCGATCCGGAGCGACCGATAGTCGCAGGTGCACGGTCGGTTGGAGTTGTCGCGCAAGAGTATTGCGAAGCACTTGGAGACGCAGCTGGCCGGTCGATTGTGGAAGAAGCTGAGGGATCGGCAAGAAGAGAGTTGGTAGGTGGATTGTTTGGTTGGCCTCGAATCAGAGCATATCTTTGACGATCCGTACCTCAGCTTGGCATCAGTGGGAAGGCGCGAGGGGCATGAGAATTCGAAGTCGAATAGAAGATGCAAAGTGGGACAGCACGATCCACGCCTCTGGCTTCTTTATATCGCGGCGGAGTGCATCAACGTGCTGGCACACACACACGCACAAGGCTGAAGAGCGGCCGATCTCTTGGTGGGGCGTGGCTGCCAAGGCGGGAGTCGCGAAAGAGAGCTGATGCACCTGATGGATATAACGTGTCGCTGGGAGACGTGGAAGTTGATCTGGGGGTGTGAGAATGGACCGGCGAGGTTTTGTCCCAAACGACCAGATGCGACGGATGTGCGGTGTCGGTGCAGTGTGTGCAGTGTGCAGTGTGTGGTGCGATCTGTGGCCCGGGCAAGAAAAGGTGAGGCTCACACTTTCCGATGTTTGGTTCTTGTTCGGTCGGCACCTTAGCGTGTGGTCTGTTCTGAAGACCGGGTAGTCTGTTGGTAGTGTATCTGTACGTAGTACGGGAACTCCGTGAGGTGAGGTAAGGTCAGGTATCCGCAGCAGAGGAGAATGAGATACCTCAGCAACCAAAACAACGCCGACGAATAGAAAGCCCAAGTGCGGGTTATGTGTGGCTGAAAGGATGGAAAGACAGAAAAAAAAGTGGTCTTTGGGTTCTTTCTTGTCTTGCAGTTGTGCATTAGACGTTGGCTCGTGCTGCCATCAGTCCCAGACCTCGACGCCGTGCCAATCACATTGCCGAATTGACTCCCGGCTGATGTTCCTTCGGCAGCCCCACCCCACACCGGTCGCCTGACAAGCATCACGTGGCTCGGCTTGCATTATACGGCCGGGGAAGGCGCCTCTGGAGGTTTCACCCAGTCTTATCTCATTGTCATGGTATATCTACCTTAGTAAGCAAATCAGGTAGTCATATTCAGTCATATTCAAGTAAGATAATTACCATATATCAAGATGGCTTAAAGTGCCTATAGAGAGTATTTTCAACCTACTTACCTTGCTAAGTATTGATTATGTCTTATATCGACTTCGATCGCATATCAGCACCTTGTCTGGCCGGTGGGATACTTTTTCGGTGTGTAAGCCAATCAGAAACTAGATCAAGTCTCGGTGAGGTCTAGAGCGGTTCCCAAACCAGCAAAGGCGCACTCCACTATTCCAAGTTAGCTTCGGGCCAATGAAGTCTCTGGCGGTCACTGCTTGACCATCTTCTGCAGACTATCAGTCTATCTACTGCGCTTGTGTCTAACCGTTGGATTGGTGACGTCGGTCTCTCTGATCGCACTTGAGTTATTCCATATTCTTATTACTCTCACTACTTCTGTCCTACATCGTCTAGGTTACGCCGTTTCTTGCTTCGAGATTGCTATAAGGGAGGCAAGTCAGGATGCTCAACCCTTTCAGCATCTTCACCCAGGCCTTTCCGCCGCGGCCGCAATTCACAGAGAAGGATATTCCCGATCTCTCTGGCAGAGTCAGTATCTCACGTAATACCCTCATCATGACTCGCTTGATACTTACACGTCGCAGATCTGCATCGTTACAGGAGCAAACACCGGTGTTGGCAAGGAAGTCGCACAAATTCTGTACTCCAAGAACGCCACTGTCTACGCTACCTCTCGTTCGGAAGAAAAGGGCCGTTCAGCCATCAACGCTATCAAGGAGGCGGTACCTAATTCTACAGGAAAGCTGGATCTCCTCACTCTGGATCTGGCCGACCTCACCACCATCAAACCCGCAGCCGATGCCTTCCTCGCCAAGGAGACGCAGCTGCATCTTCTCATCAACAATGCCGGTGTCATGATGCCGCCTCAGGGGAGCAAGACAGCCCAGGGGTACGAATTACAGCTGGGAACAAATTGTGTCGGCCCGTTCCTCTTCACCAAGTTGCTGACGCCGACTCTGGTGCAAACGGCCAAGACGGCACCCAAAGACAGTTGTCGTGTTGTCTGGGTCTCCAGCTCAGCCGCGGAGGTCTTGTCGCCCAACCCTGCCATCGAGATCGATAATCTCGACTACAGTAGAGATAGAATCAAGGAGTTCAAGTACGGCATCAGCAAGGCAGGCAACTACTTCCACTCTACTGAGTTCGCCAAGCGACACAAAGCCGACGGCGTCATCAGTCTAGTAAGTCTTGGCAAATATCTGGTCAAGAGCATATGAAATGGATAACTAACTATCCAAAGGCCTTGAATCCAGGAAACCTCTCATCAGAGCTGGATCGCCACATCACGGCGCTGATCCCGACGCTGTTCAGAAAAGCCACCACATATCCTGCCATCAATGGCGCTTACACGGAATTATTTGCGGCGTTATCTCCCGATGTGACCATTGAGAAGACGGGCGATTGGGGTGCGTCCGACCTTGTCTGCTGAATTTTATGGTTTACTAATTGGACGTCTTACAGTTGTTCCCTGGGGTCGTTTTTATGCCATTCGGGATGACCTTGTCCAGGGCTCCAAGTCCCGCGAAGAGGGCGGTACAGGTCTCGCCGAGGACTTTTGGAAATGGACTGAAGAGCAGGTAGCAAAGTATCTCTAGTGTACGAGCTTGTTCAGTCACCTAAGAAGGTCCAAAAATCTGCCAAATTTCGTCGTTCACCACTTGTTACTAGAGGCAAATCCAGCAATTCAACACAGCCAGGGAGTCGTCAAGTGGTGAGTCACTAGTTCTTCATCACAGTTCAGACATCAAAAGAGCGGGCAGCTTTGGTATCGTACACTGAAGAATATATTCAAAACTAAGTCCAATAGGCACAGTGACAAGTCTTATATGCAAAAATGATATGTACATCAGAAGTGGTCCTATCCTCGCTTCGGAGTCCAAAGGGACACCCGAGCAGCGTTCGTTCTCCTCAAGCTCCAATCAACAGCGGAAACGCTTAGTTGCGCTTGGCGTGGTTGCGGCGGCGGCGGCGACGGCACGCGGGCTTGGCGCTGGCAGAGGCAGCGGGAGCAGAGCTGGTGGTGGCAGCAGCCGGGGTAGTGGCAGCGGGAGCGGAGGGCTCCTCGGAGACAACGGGAGCGGCAGAGGAAACGGGGGTGGCGACGGGAGCAGAGGAGGAAGCGGGCTCAGACTCGACGGGAGCGGCGGAGGAGACGGGGGCAGCGCTGGTGGTAGGGACGGTGGTGGTGGTAGGAGCCGCAGTGGTAGGGGCGGCAGCAGCGGGAGCAGAGGAGGAGGCGGCGGCGGCCGAGGTGGCGGCGGGGGCAGCAGAGGAAGCAGGGGCGGAGGAGCCGGTGTCGGAAGACCCGGAGCCGACAGCCTTGGTGATCTCGCCGTTCTCAATGTAGACGCCGGAGAAGTAGAAGTCCTCGGTCTCGTCGGCGTAGCCGTCACGGGGGAGCTCGAGGACACCGACGTGCCAGTCGGCACCGTTGCTGGAGGCGGAGGCAGTGACGGGGGCAACGACCTGAGTCAGGGCCTCGGCGCCGGTAGAGTGCCAGAAGCCGACGGAGCCGCCGTCAAAGTCGATCTCGTAGGCAACGTTGTGCCAGACGTCAGCGTCCCAGTTGACGCTCCACTCGGTCTTGCCGCCGACGACCCAACGGAGGAGGGGGTCCTCGGTGCCGGTGGCGCCGCTCTGCCAGCCAGACTTCATCTCGACGAAGTGGCTCTCGAAGAAGGCGATCTGGTGCTCCTTGTTGAGGGAAGGGGCGTTGGTGTCGCTGCGCTTCAGGGAGAAGTGGTAGAAGAGCTTGCCCTTGCCGATGGCGGCGGTGGTCTGGGGGATCAGCTCGGTACGGCGCATGGTCTGGCCGTTCCAGAAGGAGGTGCTGGTCAGGGAGATCTTGGCACCCTGCTTGGAGCCCGTGTCGGCCGGGTTCTTGAAGTCGGAAGAGAGGTTGACGTAGTCGGTGGTGGCGCCGGAACCGTGGATGTAGTACTGGTAGGGACCGACCTGGCTGCTCCAGGACCACTTGTCGAGGTCAGTGGCAGAGGTCATGTCGTTGAAACGACCATCCCAAAGGATCTCGCACTGGGCGCGGGTGGCCAGCAGAGCCGCGCTGGCGATGCTCCATGTGAACTTCATTTTTGCGGGTTGGTTGTGTGGTTGGCTTGGGAGTTTTGGGTGTAAGTGAGCGTGTATATGCCTAAACCGACCGGGCGGCTTGGAGAAAGCTTGAATTCAAGGGTTTGAGCGAATGGAATGTTTCGAAAAGAAAGAGAGGACGCAGGTCGCAGCAATCGATGCCTTGGCCTTGCTTGAGGAAGTTCAATGTACGATAGAGAATGTAGCTAAGCTCAAACGAAACGAGGGTTGCGTTACGCGTTGGCAGACCAGCTCCTTTATGTAGGTCTCCCTCGGCTTCCTGGACTTTAACCCTTGGGATGAAGATTCAACTCCATCCTCGCTCCGTGGTTCCTGGAAAGGAGATGACCCCGCAGGTTTAGCTGCGAGGAATAGAGTAGAAGGCTCCTTTGGGGAGATGGGCCTTGCAGAAGCACTTTGTTTCACGGCAAGGTTTCCCGGTTCAGCGGATGCATCTTGCAAGCCTCTGTCAAGCGAATTAGGCCTGTACGCACTACTACGTACTCCGTCCGCAGTGAGTGGGATTAGATTGCGGAGTTGTCCCTGACTTCAGGTGAGGCCATGGTTGATGAGGCCACGCCTTTTCCGTACGTGTGCGGCCTGCAGGTCCCAGGTTGCGGCGGCAAGGCAAGGCAAGGCAAGGCATGCCCCATACACAGTAGCAACTTTGGCTAGAAGCAAAGAAGCAGAAACTGCAGGATCCCGCAGCGAAAGGAGTCATGGAAAGACCAGGGCCTGGGCTCGGGTGGGAGAGGCGGACCAACACAGCCAGAGAGAAATGAACAGGGTGTTGAGTGGGCGCTTGATATTAATGAAGTCGAGCCCACATCTCGTTTGCATCTTGTATGGATGACGATGCAGGGGGTGCTACAAGACTGCGAGAACGCACGTTGAAGTCGAGAGAGAGCCGCCCAGGTGCGAAGCTTCTGCTGGTGGGAAATTTGCACACGGGGCTCGGGGTGGGCCCGCTAGGCCGGATCGGGGCCGTCTCCAAACGAGCAAGCCGCAAGCGCCCCTTTTCGGCACAACCGGGAATACCCTTCTTTGGGCCTTCGCCGTAGTGTACAATTGCCAATATTCAAGCACCCAAGTTCATCCCAGAAAACTCAATTTGAGAAAGCCACCGCCCGCCTGTCAAACTGCAAGCCTTTTTGCCGCCTTCATCGGCTGCCACCGTCGGGTTGTGGGCGACGGCGTGGCGGTGGGAAAGACTTCCAATGACGTGATGTGTTATACCCGAAATAACGTTCTTTTTTTCGGCTATCGCTCACCTTAATTCACCTTAAGTATGTAATAGGACACAAGGGTACGCATTCACTGCTTATTGGGATTGAATGTTAAGAAGTGCGAATAAGGCGGGAGATCTCCCGAGATAGGCATGCATACCCGGGCCCGAGACTGTGGACTGTCCGCAAGCCGCCCCGATTTTCTCCCTAGGGCTTCAGATCAGCCCTGATCAATAGACAAGCAAGATATGCAAGACAACAATCATCATTATGGAGAGAGGACAGCTATGTTAGGTCGAGAAAGGGCAGCAACCGTTGAATTGGTTCATCATTCCTGCTCTCCAGATACTTTCATCAGTCCATCTTATATTCCTGGCTAACCGACCAAAAACCCGCTTCTTCATCTTCGATAGTCCTGGCTCCCATCACGACCTGAGGTACTCACAAACACTTTTGCCCCAACGCGACGCCCCCTTGTATACCCACATGCCAGGCGCATTACCCGTCTTCAACCCTTCTATGGCGTCCGCAAGTATGAGCCCGCACCCCTCCTTCTTCACCTCTTCTATGGGCGTGAGATACGTCTTGAATGAGAACATGATCGCTCCCGTCTTGGGAAGTCTGGTCAAGGTTTGTAGTTCTTGGCGCAAACAAGCCTGAGTGGGTGGTATGAGCTTCCTGGTAAATGGTACATTGAGTGTCAAGGAAGGCCATCTCACCTTTGAAATATCGACATCCTCATCCTGTTCTGTCTTGTCGCCTTCATAAATGTGCAAGTTGCTCGGGCTAAAGAGGTTCTCATGCGTCGAAACAGACCACTATATCAATTCATCAGCGGAACGCCTCCGTATCCAAGAACAAGCAACCTCACGTTCATCCGCTTGACGCTCTTCCCAACCTGTAATCGAGAGAAGAAGCGCTCCATGCTTGCACCAATCTTCTCATATGACGGCACCGGGGTGTGAATGTCCTTCATCAGCTTTCCGAGCTTGTTGGACGGGTCGAATCCAGCAGGATGGCAGCAAACGAACGCCACGCAACGATGGCCCTCTGGTGTCTCAACGAGCAAAAAGATGTCGTCTTCCACGGTCTCTCCAAGAGCTTTGAGGGCAGTCACGGGGTCCTCCGGCAGCGCGAGGGGCAGTGATGTCTTGGTAACATGGTTATGGAACTTAGTCTTGTCCTCGGACAAGGAGAACATGGTTGGATATCGCTTCGGCAGATACTCTGAGAGTATATAAGTCCAAGCCTCATGGAGAGCAGGTAGGCCTTCTGGCACAGCGCCCGCTACCGTTGACGTATGCTCATCCAGAAGCTGACGACGCTCGGTCACTCGATCAAGGTAGTTGTTGTCTATAATGATGAGGTCTTCTGGCGGACTTGCTTGGATGGCTAATATGATAATCCGTTAGAATGTAAGCAAGATTCATGTGCAAGGGTCGTGGTACCCATGGTGATGTGATAGACTGGCTTGAATGGCCGGTGCTTGGCAGGATCGATGTTCTGCCAGTCAAAATCTTTCAGAGGCATTATGTCGGTCTTTTCGTCTGATTTCTCCTGCAAGCTAGTCCCGACGAGCTTTTCCTTTACACAGTCAGACGTCTCCGTGGGATCTTTGAAAGATAAGGAGACACACCTTTGTGGCATATCGCCACTTCCACCTCCATGCGGAGAATAGCAGTACAGCTACAGCCAAAGCCGAGAGGAGGAACATATCGGCGTTTGGAAATAATGTGAGAGGCGAAGTCTAGAAGGCAAGATGTTTAATGTGGCTATAAGAAGATGGGATGAGTTGAATCGTTTCAGCGCAGAAACGAACTCTTGACGTGACTCAGGATAACAGCAAACTTATACGGCGAGGATCCCTGATACAAGTCGAGGAGCCGAGAGGAGACCGTTATCGGCCCAGACAGCCGGACACGTTGAGTCTCCGCTAGTACTGGGTAGACTTTCCGAATCGTGGGATCCCGCCCCAGAGCCACGATACCTCTTTTGGGCAATAGATTGAGACCACCGGCAATCATCTGGCCTCGATTGGCTGGGCCAATAAGATGCACCTCATTTGGGCAGTGGAAAGAGACCCTACCCTACAACGCATGCCGTGTTCTCCAACTTTGCATGCATACATCAGACCCAGCGTAAATAGCGTATCAAGCACATAGCGTGGCATTCTACCACGCAGTAGATCTCCCGCCTGGAATGTTGACTTGACTCCGATGCTTCCCCGCAAACGCCTTGGCTTGCCACCCCACAAGACGACTCCAACGGATCTGATGATGTCGGGCTGTAGTGTCGCGATGTCAGGTTTTGGATCAAATTGTACGTAATAGAACCTGAGCATCGCAATGCTTCAACCATCGGCTCGACCTTCCTGCCCCAGCCACATGTATTTACGGATAGGGGTCATTTCCCTGGCTGTAGCGCACGCAACGTCAATGTCCATCCTCACATACCTTTAGTCAGTTCCCGAACTGACGAGAACAGGGCCTAAGAGGTCTCAAAGAGACACGAAGGTGAGTAGGTAATGCAGCTAGCCTCACATTCTCATGTCATTGAGTACTAGGATCGCTTATGGCATGTCTCCGCACAATCAAGTATTTGAGGAATCCTCACCAAGCAGAGTCAGAACGTGGTTATCAGACAATACATCTCACTGCCAGTAGTGGTGGACTCGAAAGACTCTTGTAAACAATGAAGCTGATGATGGGGAGTGAATGCCTCCCTGCCTAAGGTAGTGGTGACTATGCATGACTCTAAAGATAACGTACCTAAGGTACCCCGCAATCGGACCTGACATGCCGGCAATCGATAAGGGTAAGGGAAGATAAGATAAAGAAACCAAGGATCCTGAGATTAGTCATCGTTCTTCAAAGTCGTGAGTGCTTCAGAGAGCTCATAAGTCAGCAGGAGCTTATCTCTTCAGCTACGTAATCACGCAAGCTCTGGCAGGGGTGAGCTCCTCATTCGACTCCACGCTCTCACCATCATCCATGTCATTGACCACTCACGTTGCCGAAGTCGCGACCGAAGAGAAGCGATCACTTCCCCGTGTGCCCCTCCAGATACTCCCAAAGCTCATTGTCGTCGGCGATGTCTGCGCTCTGGGTTTGAAACGTCGGCCGATAATCCAGCCGAACCGTCAGTCACCTTCTTGATTGGGCCAAGGGCTCCCCCGACGAACCCAATCCTCAGAGCTTTGGGGCCAATATAACATATCCCTTGCTCCTAGAACATTTCAACGTCTGCTATTTGATCTTTTTTGCTTCAAACAACACCAAAACGTTAAGTGTTGTCATGGATTCGGAAAAGAGCGGCATGTTGCCGCCGTACAGCGCCGCGGACCTTCCGCCGCCCTCGGCCCCCCGGCACTCTCATCATCACAAACGATGGCTACGACCCAGACGCAGCATGAAGCTCATCGTGGGATGTCTGGCGTTCATTGCCTTTGCTCAGTGGAAACAGATCTCGATACTCCCTTCCCGCGAGCCATCCTCCTCACTTTCTGCGGAGCGTTTGCAGCAGGACTTGGCGACCTGTGCAAAATTGCGACACAAGCCACAGGATCCAATTGGTCTCGGTCGAGAGAAGAATGCTCGTTTCGTCGACGGCCAGCGCCCGACGCTCATCCGTAATGCCACAATCTGGGTTGGCGAGGCCGCTGAGGGAACATCTCCAGAAGATGCGCGTGCCGGCAAAGGGTACTCGTGGATCACTGCCGACGTCCTCATCGATTACGGCCTGATCCAAAAGGTCGAAGCCGACATCTCCCTCGACTCCCTTCCTAAGGATACCCAGATTTGGGACGCCAAGGGCCGCCAACTGACCAGCGGTATTATTGACATGCACTCACACGCCGGTGTTGGTGCCCTACCCGAGCTCGTCGGCAACCAAGATGTAAATGAGATGTCCAACGACATTACTCCCTACGTTCGTTCAATCGATGGACTCAACCCCCTCGACCCACAGATCCAGGTCATCAAGTCTGGAGGTGTAACTACCTCGCTGGTTCTGCCGGGCTCTGGCAATAACATGGGAGGCGAGGCCTTTGTCATTAAACATGCCGTTGGCAAGCCCAATGGCCGCACCGAGCTTTCTGCCGAGGATATGCTGGCGGATCCGGATCGCAACTGGCGGTACATGAAGATGGCATGCGGAGAGAACGCGAAGCGCGTCTACGGAAAGGTCGGGCACAGCCCCTTCTCCCGTCTCGGCGAGAGCTGGGAGTTCCGCCATGCTTTTGAGCAGGCAGCAAAGCTTGTGCAAGAGCAGGACGACTGGTGTGCGGCCGCCGACAAGTTTGGAGTGGAGAGCCAGTCATCCTACTTGCCCCAGGACCTCAAGTGGGAGAGTCTCAGTGCTGCCTTGCGAGGCCAAGTGCACATCAACACCCACTGCTACACGATTCCGGACCTTGAAGCATTCGTTGGCCACACCAACGAGTTCAAGTTTCCGGTGCGGGCTTTTCACCACGCCCATCAGACCTTTTTGGTTCCCGAGGTGCGTCTTTCTACCCTCTTTGCGTGTGATCCTCCCATCACTAATAAGCTGATGTAGATCCTGAAGCGCGTCTGGGGTGGTCGCCCCCCTGCTTCTGCGCTGTTTGCCGACAACATGTATTACAAGTCCGAGTCGTACGTTGGCTCCGAGTACGCTGGCAAGATCCTTTGGGAGAACGGTCTTACTCCCGTATACGTCAGTGATAACCCGGTCTTGAACGCCCAGCATGTCCTCTTCGAGGCCGCCAAGGCTTACAGATATGGCCTTCCTTACCATGCAGCTCTGTCCGGTGTGACATCTGCCCCTGCCGAGTTGCTGGGTTTGGGCCAGCGCATTGGCAAGATCAAGCCCGGATTCGATGCCGACATTGCTGTGTGGGATAGCGATCCTCTGAGTGTTGGTGCCGCGCCTGTGCAAGTGTGGATTGATGGAGCTGCTCAATTCTCTGATCCTTTTGAGCTTAAGAAGCCTCTTGACGGCCCTATCTTTCCCGACCCCAAGCTAGCCAATACTACCGAGGACATCACCGATTTTAAGGAGGTCGTTTTCACTGGCGTTTCCAACGTTTGGCTGTCGGGCGAGGAGGCCAACACAGCCAACAGCGAGACGGTGAACGTTGTGTTCTCAAACGGCGATATCAAGTGCATCGGCGCCTGCACCGAGGAGGTTGCAGCTGCCAAGTCCTCGTCTAAGAAGGTCATTGACCTGAAGAATGGCCACATCACCGAGACTTTCACTGCATTCGGTTCTCTCATTGGCCTCAACGAGATCGACAACGAGGCGGACACGGACAACGGCCGTAACCCCACCGGGTTCAGTCGTGGTCTTGACGGCCTTGTGCTCGACAACAAGAAGCTGCACATAGCTAAGAAATACGGCGTTACCAAAGCAATCTCGGCGCCCAAGTTCACAGGTGGATTGACGCACTCTGGAACCAGTGTTGGCTTTAACACTGATGCCAAGCACTCGCTCGAGAAGGGCGCTGTTTGGGCCGAGGACGTTGCCGTTCATCGTACATTGACTCTCGCCGCGAAGCGAGGTGACAACCCGTCCATCTCCGATGCCATTGGCAAGCTCCGACACACCCTCTTGGAGGCAGTTGCGACCAACGACACCGGATCGGATCCTTTCTCAGAGGCGGCCTACCTCAAGAAGGTGGTCAATGGAGAGCTGCCCTTGGTCCTGACAGTCCATAGTGCGGACACCATTGTCGCCGCTCTCAGAGTCAAGGCCACAGTCGAGGAGGCCTTGACTGCAAAGAGTCAGTCCAAGGAGTCTCCCAAGCTCCGTGTCTCCATCATTGGAGGCGCTGAGTCTCATCTCGTCGCTTCAGAGCTAGCCGACGCCGGTGTTGGTGTGCTTCTTGCACCTTTTCAGTCGTACTCATACACCTGGGACCAAAGACGTTCTCTGACCGGCGCTCCTCTCACGAACGGTACCGCCATTGACACTCTCCTAGACGCTGGTGTCGTCACTGCCATTGGATTGGAGGAGGATTGGTTGATCCGTGACTTGGGACTACTCGCCGGCATTGCGCAGAAGAACGGCAATGGTCGGTTGAGCGAGAAGAAGGCGCTGGATCTGGTTTCCTCTAACGTCTACAAGATTCTTGGCATTGAAGAGTCGCAGTCGAGGAAAGCTCGCCACTTTGCTGTGTATGAGGGCAGCCCGCTTGAGATTGGAGGCAGAATTCGTGCTGTCGGCAGCGGCCGTGACACCGTGTCTATTTTCGTGTAAACGAATCGTGGGAAGGTTCCAGGCCTACTTTTACAACGGGTAGTTCATATTCACCGAAACCTGAAAGACCCATTTAATGACTCGGAAACTATTCCGATCCCGGTTCCGAACCGCGCGGGGAAGACAGTAATACAACGCATGATCAAACTGCATTGGCGGCTCACTTGACAACAGATAGTGATACTGAGAATGGTCCATTCTAAGTACATTAGATCCAGCTGAATCAGCTCTAGCCGTTATGATTTGCCGCAGGGTCGTGGCGTTGATTCCTTTGCCATTGTGGTCCCGCGCGGGTATTACCAATCTGATCCCGGACGGTGACAATCCCGGCGTATCATACTTTGACCAATGAGAAAGGATCAAATCGAAGCCAACCAAACGGATGCCGTTGCTATTTGAGCCTCCTGGTCCCCCCACCATCCGTTGGTTTAGTAAGGGTCTTAATAGCACTTGAATAGCATCGGATGACAACAGAAACAAGAACTCTGTCCTATTTGACTAGAACTCTACGACTTTCAAAAATCAATTGGATCAACAGACGAAAACTCAGAACATCATCATCTACAATGACACGCGCTGCGGCAATTTGCGTCGCGCACGGCGGAGGTACGTTGAGCTCCATTGAAGACCGATGAAACCCGCAGTGCCGACTTACACATCTTAGGTCCCATGCCTGTTCTTGGAGACCCTGGTCACGCTTCCATCACCGCATCACTCCAAAAGCGCGTGCCCAAGATTCTGAAGCTCAACACACCAGACGCACCCAGAGCTATCGTGGTTGTGACAGCACATTGGTCAGAGGGTGCACCGACCATCTCATCAGGGGATCACCATGACCTGTACTATGATTACGGCGGTTTTCCGCGGGAGGCATACTCACTCAAATATCCCGCTCCTGGATCGCCAAGTATCGCAAATGAGTTGAAGCAGGCTCTCGAGAAAGAGGGTCTCTCACCGGTAATGAACTCACGTCGTGGTAAGTACAAGCAATGGCACGCAAGCTGTAGTAAACCTAGATTAACGTTCAACCCAGGTTGGGATCATGGCGTCTTCATTCCACTCCTCCTCATTCACCCAGCCGCCGACATTCCAGTCATTCAGCTTTCAGTACTGGCCTCTGAGGACCCCGAGGAGCACTTCCGCATGGGTCGGGCCCTCTCAGCTCTGCGCGACACCAACGTCGCCGTCGTCGGGTCGGGTTTTGCTTCGCTTCACAACATGGGGAAGTTGCGGTCACTCATGATGGGAGACCCGTCAACGGCAAAGAGGATCGGGACGCAGGTCAACGAGTGGAACAAGGAGTTGACGGGCGCCGCACTCCTAGAAAAGCGGGAAGACCGGATCAAGGCGCTGTCCAACTGGCGAAAATTCTCTCACAGTTACGAAATGCACCCTCGTTATGGCGCGGAGCACTTCATGCCTCTACTGGTATGCGCGGGTGCTGCTGACGACGAGGTTGGCCGGGAGTACAATGACGACTTCCTTGGGGCGGATATCAAGACATACTATTGGGGAGATGTACGTGTCTGAAATTATTCTAACTAGCACCTTGTTCCATCTATATGCCCATTCCGAAGCGCCAGTTCCAAATCCGCATCTATCCAAGCGGATTGTGGAGAGGGCGAGATACTTCTCAGCCCTTCTATCCCATAATACATTTAACTCGTTATATCATGATTCTTTCAATGTCCTCCTAGCCAAAGAACCCCGACGCCCAATGCTAATGGAGAAATAATACAGTCCCCTGAGTGGGAAAACCCGCGAACATCCTCCAGTCCCGTCCCACTGAAACATCTTTTGTGAGCGATGAGAGTACAGAAAGTGGTGTAAAACATTACAAATTAGGGGGCCACGCTAGCGTAGACCAGGTCAGACAAGGTTGTTAAAACTTGCCTCCAATGCCCATGGCATCAACGACGTGAGCCTCTTTTTCGACGACCCAGCCGGTTTGCACGTAGTTGGAGAGCCAACTGACCTCGCGTCCACGGTGGCCATCACAGTCACGGCATCCGCGTCTCGCCATCTCGAGTCCGGTGACACCGTCCATGACGCCGCTTCTGCCGCCGACAGTCGCTCCCAGGCCAGTCCAGCTGAGGCGGCGGCTGTCCTTCCGGGATCGGCGCGTCTGCGCGTAGTTTGCCATGGCAGCGAGCTCGCGCTTCTCAGCAATATCGCGGTCGATCATCATGACGTAGTCGAGGATACTGCTGGGTGCTTGCGGCGATGAAGGGTCGGGGAAGAGGGCCGAGAGGTAGTCTGTCAGAAGCATCACGGGTCGCTGGTCGGGAACCCAGTGGCCAGAGGGTTGGGGAACCTGGTTCTGGATCACGAAAACGCCGCCGCAGAATCGGCCGTCAAGCTTCTTTTGAACAGAACGGAGCACGCCCATTTGCGCAAAGGGGTCATTCGCGTAGGCGAAGTGCTCGATGTGAGGACCACGCTCTTCAACCACCGCGGTGGATCCATCCTCAAAGCGGGTGACCTTGCGGCTGGTTTCCCCGAGAGGCGCCACAAATTCCGAAGCCGCAGCACCAAAGGTGTAGATCTCCAGTTTGGAGAGCTTTTCCGCTTGAATGTCGGAGCAGAGGCGAGCGAGAACGTGCGCAACGGGCAGAGAGCCGTTGTTGTGGGCGAGTACGGCGACTCGGTGGACGGCGGCGTCGAGGAGGGCTGTGCGGAGCTCGGTGTAGAGGGCGCGCGAGGCTTGGGTGTCGAAAGGGAAGCACCGCTGGATGGCGAGGAGGAGCATGTCGAAGGGGAGTCCGTAGGTGGCCATCTGAATACCGCTGAAAGAGCGCCCAAAAAGGCGGGCGAGTCGAGGAATTGTGCAATGTTTGAGGTGTGTTGAGCTTCGTGAGTGTTAGTTTCCGTAGGATCGCTTCCAAAGAGGTGAAAGAGAAGGGGACTGACCTCGTGCCCATCCCGCCAATGAAGATCCATCTCTCCTCATCATCGTCAATGTCTGTTGTGCTGTTTCCAAACTCGTCGCAGTTGGTCATAACTTCGTTTCCGTTCATCAACCAACTCAGACCCAGGACCATGCTCATTGAGATTCCTAGCCAAGCCCCGAACAAGATCCCCGGAAGAATGATGAACAAGGGAACGGCAAGCGTCACTATCCCAACTTCAACAATGGCCAGACTGAGTTGGATGACGATGTCCTTGAGGTGGCTCTTGGAAAGGTGCTGACGGTGGTTGGCGACGTGTGTTCTTAGCGAAGCCATCAAACCCGGCATCATCTGCCACATTTCCCGTAGATCTTCATGAAGCAATGGCAAAGTCGGCTTCTGTGCTAGTGGTACGGTTCCACAAGCTCCATCTATAAGTGGTGGTATGTATGTTACTGAAGGTCCGCATGTCTTGATCGGTCCGCATGTGCTGTTCCTTGGTGATGTGCGTGGTGAGCCGGTGGGTGACTGATACGATGGTGATCTCGATAGCCACGGCATGACAGGCGAGGTCGTGGGAGATCTTTTTGCTGCTATGAACGGCATCGAAGCAACCTCTCTGGGAAAATCCAAAACGCAGAATGAAAGAAGGATATAGAGAAAGATGGCAGATTGAGGTAGGGATGTAGCTAGTGAGCTCGGAACGAAAGCAAGGGGGTTCGATCAAGAAGTTAAGGTTACATCCATGAAGATTCACATGCAATCCCGTATTCTTTTAATCTTCGTTTCGTTGTTGTTGTTGATGTCTCGTCGTTCACGCCGAGTTTTAGTGCTCCCTCTCCCTTATCATTCCTGTTGCCGCTCGGGCAATCTTGTTGCAGACACCGGCGCAAAACGCTTGTTCGGTGGCGCATTCCTCGGCCAAATTCGCCCCGTGCCTTGACCATCTCGAATTAAATCGTACCCTATTTGAGCCAGAGTGAGAAATTGGTTTAGGAAGTCTGTTTGGGTTCTCGTCGAAGCTGGTTTGTTTACTTTCGAGCTCATCCTACTTACAAGACTTGCTGCGATCTCACGAGGGGTTCCTTGGACATTGTCTTCAAGAAAGCTGATTGGTGATGTTTTACACGATAAGTTGATGGTAATAATAGGAGAACCAGATCCCCCAAAAGCTAGCCCTCCTCAACCTTGCAGCCTTCAAAGACCTTGCAGCGGTCCGTCGATTCTCGTCCGAACTCTGGGCACAATTCAGATGGCATTGATCACCCCGGCTACTCGGGTTCCAGAGCCGGGTCGATCCCGTTGCGGCTGGAAGCCAGGGTCTTGCAGGAATTTCTTTGGAGTGAGTGGTGCACCGAGCAACAGACTTCCACCTTGCAGCCCTAAGAGAAAGAGGCGCACAGATGGGCCATTATTTCTGCCCGCTCTTCTTCCACTAAGCCGCTTGAGCTCAGGGTTCTGGTGAGCCTCAGGGGAACTAAAAGGCGAGAAGGCGATGGATTGTAAGCCGGTATTTTCGTCTAGGCTTTAGTAGCGGACTTTAGCCGCATGCTCCCTTGCATGTGAAGTTCTGACGTAAGTTCGTCTAGTCTCCCGCGCGCCCGGCAGAGCACGTTTTCCTTTGTGCCCGGATGGTGAGCTTCGATCTCCGATGGGGCCGTGATTCCGGCGTAAGACTCCAGTCGAGCTTCAGCCCACCACCCAGCGATGGGGAAAATGCGGGAGGACGAGGACCTCTTACACACTAAGTAAAACCAATTGGGGGTTGATCCCCAATATGATGGAGCAATTCAACCGTTTCAAGATCCCGAGGTTCCCATTTGGCACGGTATCTGCGGGTTAGGAATGGAACACTAATAACCCTGTGCATATATGGGTCCCGAGACCCTCGACGACGCATTACAGAGCAGCGCTTCCAAGGTGACCACATGCATTCTTTAGTAAGCTGGCCCGACTACTATCTTTGCCCAGGCACAGAGACATCTTTATCCAGGTGAAAGTTTGCCTGGAATAGGAGGATTGGATTGAGATCTTTCTTGCCCTGGAGGTCAACGCCCACTTTCAAACACGAGGCGTTCAGCTTCTGTCCAGGAAGGAGTGAAAGCACGGACTGAACGTGGCGGAGGATTGCTATAGGCTGACCGTTATCCGTTTATCATTGATGGACTTGAAACTGTTTCTTTGAGACTGTCTGGTGCGTTGCAAACAGATTGTACATACGGAGTAGTCTTATGGGCGTCAGCCTGTGTTACTATGGCACTGAAGCTTGCGTGGTAGGGGTAGAAGCTTGGTGGCCACGCCGCCTCACACGAGGCGTCTCTGCGATGGTCTTGTCTAGCCTTCCTGCCTCCGTGAAGAATGGCATTGTAAGTGGTCAAGAGAATCAGCCACGCTAATCAGCCACTCGAGGCCACATTTTTATCAAGTCCGACGAATCCAACGCCATTTAATCAGATAGGGGTTGCAGCTCTAGCAACCCCGTTGTCAGAGACGACAATCTCGAACAAGGACAAAATCACGGGTGTCAAGATTTTTTCGCTATCACCATGACAAATATCTAGCGAAAGATACGCATGTCTGAATACACCCAACCTGCGAAATTCTTTACATAAATATGGAGAGATGATGAACCTTCCACTTCCCGAAGCCCATGAGGCTTCAAGCGCCATCCTTGTCTTAATGCCCCATCCGATCTTGAGATCGAGGTTCTGGGTCAAGCATTGCATTCCTTTTCTCTTCGGCAGTCCTCCACTTCAAGATTGTTAGTTGCTTAAATCCGAGATTCTCGCGAGTCGTACGAAAATCAATGTAAAACCCTGTCGGTGATTTATGCTCAGTGTCACAGCAATACTCGACGGGACAACGAACCACGATCTACAAGTGTCTACCGAGAATTCCTTTCGTGTGAATGACAATTGATAGTTTGGCTCTACTCAGAACCCACATTTCGTTTGAATGATCTCTTTGTCCATGGCGATGACATCGGTCACAACGACGAACGGAGTTACGGCAATACGCAGGTCAGCAAGTGGCATACTACAAATTACAAATTAAGTCAGAAACTAAGGCTATTGGCTGATAGTTACGGGGACAGTGTGACAATACCACAAAGTAAGGTAATTTGGGTGACCTGAAAGTTTATTGGACGATCAGCAACAGCCATATGAAATACACCACAAAAACATGGATCTTGAGTCAATATCCTTCCTGGTCTCCTTTCCTTGGCAGATCTAATTGCGACATTCTTTGGCTTCCCGATCTGGCCCTCGATAAGACCAGCATCAAACTGTAACGGCAATTGATAGTTTAATATGCGAAGCCAGTAGCTTGCCCCCGAGGGCCTCATCGCCTGTGGGATGCCCGCACAACTTTGTTGATGCCGGCTCCTTACCTTAGTGGGCTGACATGATCTTACTGGGGTGGTCGAAGCAAATTTTGCTATTAGGGGCATTCATGTGGATTTGCAGAGTCATGAACTACGCAAGAAAACGCGAATGTATCAAACAACCCGCTCCGTGTCCTCAACTGGGCCGTCGACTGCTCACGGTGGCCACCGGGAGAAACATTGTCTAGAAAATTCACTTAGTATTAGAACGCTGAAATTTTGGTATATGCAGGCTTAATGCTATTCAAGGTACTATG